TAGCATTAGCTAGCTAGTTATATGTTAATGTGATTAATGTGACTTTAAATCATTGCAAATAAATGACACATGGCAACCAAGTCAGGTCAGCTATTAGCCCCTGAACCAATCAAATATTAACAAGAGTGGTTGGGATGCTTCCCCAGAGCATTCCTCAGCTCAGGGAAATATTGTGGCGGCGATCCCAGCGATCTGGGGGAGGGTGATGCCATCAATGCCGCTGGAATCATCAATCCAGTCCAGTGTTGACAGATGCAGAGATCATGCTAGTGAGCGATAATTAGATGCTGGACAAGTTGTCCGCTGTGATGGTTATCCACAGTGGAGTTGGCTGCTGGGCTGGGCCTCGCGGAGCAGCGGCCGAAGCTGGACTGCGGTTGCGGAAGTAGTTCTATCTCACACAGGCTCCGCCTTCTACTGGACTCTATGGGTACTACCTCCTCCAATCACACGCACGCACTTGCCCACTGAAATTTATCATGCATCATGTAGCCGACCAATAGGACGTCGCTACCGATACGTGCGTGACGTATAAATAGCAGTGTCCCTATTGCCTCAGCATTCTTTCTTCATCATCCTTTCTTCAGCAAACGGCGCACTGCTCACGGAATTCACCACCTCCGCGGATGGAGTCGCCACATCTTTGTACCCGGGCAAGGTGACCCATGTCCTGCCCGGACGAGTCCAGGCCCCCCTGCCAGCCGACCTGCACCTGGGGAAGGGAGTGACTGACCAAGTGACCGTTATGGAGGGAGAGAGGCCTGCTGACGCCGCCACAATCCCCCTTCTGATGTTCAAGACGCCATTGTTTTACATGTGCTGCTTGTGACCGTGTCAGTCTTCATAGATGAGGAGTCATACACCACACATCCATAATCCACTCCAAACTGTGTTTCTAGTTTGGTGGTGCATTTCCTCCAGCGCATACATCAACGGACAGGGCGAAGTCCAATCCACGGCCTATAGACCTATAGACGTGGGCATCAGAACGTCCCAGGCTTGGAGAACGGTGGTGGCTAACCTCACGTTGAGGGCTGGCCCTGAGTACAAGCAAGGAATTTTCAAAACTCTGCACCACCAAGTCGATAATGTACCAACAAATGCCCAGGCCCTAAGAGAACAAGTACAAAAAACTGAAGGATGAACTTAATTTTGGATAATGTAACTGGACCCTTGTGAAAACAACCACAAGATCCATGAAGAACTCTAATACTGTGTTTGTTGAAGAAACGAGGAAAAAAATGCTTCATCATCATTCCACACATGTCAGGAGTGTCAGAGAAACTCAAGAAACACCACATCCCTGTGTTTTTCCAACCCAGCCACACATAAGATAGAAACTGGTCCACCTGAAAGACCCCACCCCAAACACAAGAACAGCAACATAGTGTATGCTGTCCAATGCAGTGAGGAATGCATAGATTTGTATATCGGGGAAAGCAAACAACCATTAATCAAACGTATGGTTCAACACAGGAAGGGTAACCCCTCAGTTTAAGACTCAGCAGTTTACCTAAACATGGAGAATAAGGGACACTCTTTTGAAGACAACAACATACATATTTTGGATAGAGAGGACTGATAGTTTGAAAGAAGAGTGAAGCATCTACTTCAAAGTAGAGAAACCATCTCTCAAGAAAGGAGGATATCTACCAAAGTTATCCCCTACATATAATGCTGTCCTTCATCTCTTTCCCAGGAGAGTGAAAATTCCAAAGACTGTTTTTTACAATTGGCCTCAGTTGACTCCATGGACCCTAACTACCTTTGTTACAATAGCCAGCAGCACCAACCACCAATTGGTATTAATGACTTTGATCATGGCCCCACAGAGGTAAAATACCTGGGACTCCCCACCAGTATTAGAACTAAAGAAGCCCCTTGGATTCGAGGTGAAACATCTTCAACCAAGTCCAGTTGCCCTCGATTAACACTTTTTGGTGTAAGAAAAGTGTTCAGTGTTACCACTGAAATGGTAACAGGGTTGACGAAAAATGTTATTGCCAGTCACTACTAGCTTTGTGGTAAATGTCATGACACGACATGGTGATGATTCATGAGAGGCTTAAATGTTATGTTATATGTACATTTAAAATTTCTAACAAATAACTTTTTAACATATGTTTATGTGGTAACAGGGTTGACACACTGAGCTCGTCCCACTCCGTGAGACATTACGTAACTAAAAAAAAATCCATTAAAGGAGGTGACAATTTTTTTAATTTTTTAACATAAACTTCATAAAAAGGCAAGTGATGTCACTTCCTGGCTTTAAAGGGGTGTTTTTATTAAAAGTAACAGGGCTGACAACAACATGGGGACCCGACTAAATTGTTGTTTTTGCAATATTTTACACATTTTCAACATTTCTGCAAGATGCTTTACACAAAGTGATTAAAATCTTTTAAAAACAAAATGTATTCTTATATTATGAGACATATTATGGAAACTGTTTTATGGTTTATTAAGAGTTAAAGAGCTTTTTTTTCTGAGGGACTTAAAATGGCACGTTTTCATATAATGACCCTGGTTTATTTAAAAGCTGTGGTTAAAGTTGAATTATTAATCTTCATTCTTAGTTGAACTTTATTTATTTGGATGTGATTAATAACTTTATTTTTGTTTTTCATGTGTTTACCTTGAGTCACAAATGCTGACAGTGTATAATTGGAATATTATTTAAATAAGGTGCAGAAAAGGTAAAGAACTGTGGACTAATAGTTACACTGATAGCTTTTCACTGCATAGTAATTACTACTGAGCTGATGTGTTTTCGTTTTTTTTCTGTTTGCATTTAAAGGTTATCAACCTATTAAACTTTTGCTTGCTGATGGTTGTGGAAAATCAAAGAAGGAAGTTTTTTTAGGAGCTGAGTTGTCCAAGTGTCCTCTGTCATCTCCTAAGCCTCGAATTTAGGCAGTCAATGAAGCCAAACCCCAGATAACTCGACAATTAGTCTTCCAGGAGCCTCGGCACTGCCATTTATGAATGCCGAGTATTGGATATTGCTTGCCATATAGCTTCTCTACTTCATATGCTGATGCTGTGAGAGATAGCACCATGCAGTTTGCATAGGAAGCAGCGAGGGCAGGCAGGTAGGCTGCGGCAACTTAAATAGGCGCCTTGTATGGAATTTGCCAATGAATGCTAAGAAAGGAATGACAGAGCGGTCAGCGGATATCCTGGAATGAGCTGATCTGAGCCTGCCTGAACTAACACTATGCTTGATTTATGTTTACTTGTGAAAATTATCTGCAGGTGGAGCCCTGCTGGTTACTCCGGTAATAAAGGTTGCTAGGTTACTCTGGTGATAAAGGGTGATTGGGCTTTTAATATTAAAGCTCCCACACTATAGAACTCTCTGCCTAGTGAACTGAGACACACTATCTCTAGCTTCTTTTAGATCTCTTCTTAAACCTTTGGAAATGTTTGATCTTTTTTTACATTTTTTTCTGCTTTTATTGCTGTTTATTTGATCTTGTTCACTTCATTATTTTTACATCCTCTTGCTCATGTTCTTTGGCAGCATACTCTTTGTATCTGCCTGTTTAATTGCATTTTGTAGAGCACTAACATTGTCAAGAAATGTGTTGAAGAAAAAATAAACATCCCTGCAAAAATAACTAATAATAAATGAACGTCCCATCAGCCTGTGCTCTACGTTGTGTTCACTGTTAATTAGCAAGTGCAGCACACTCTTACTATCCACTTTGGCCGGTGGCAATCATAGGGCTGATCCCTTAAAGTCACGATTCAAGTCATCAGTCATGAAGACCCCAATTCGAAACGCAATTGTCAGTCAAATCAATGCACTTTTGTTTTGTGTTAGGAGCATTATTGTACACAGAGAGATGCAGGAGCAACAGCATGGCAGGCTGTAAACTGCAAAGTGCAGCAGCATATTTTAAAAATATTCATTGTGTAAACAGGAAAACGTAATTGAAACCCCAACATGGAAGTCTGCCTGCAATGAACAGTTCAGTGTCCTCATGGCTGCTATTGACGGCCTATTAGACAGCTCAGGGGTCAGTAATAGAGTGAAGTGTAATAACTGATTCATGCGATGCTTGACCCAAACCAAGAGGCTTATTTTTAGCCAAAGTCTTTGGCAAGCTGAGTTTAAAGCTGTAATCCTCAAGCTTGATCCCATCTTGAACCTTTAATGTCTCTAGGTCACTTTACATCACAGAATCTTCAGTATGACTGACATGGTGACACTATGGTGAACCTGTAGAGCCAGAATAACTCTTCAAATAAAGAGCTGATCATGTATTTCAAGTCTATGTCAGAGGAAAATGAATTGAGCTATGCGTACACATATGTATAGCTGAGAAATAGGACATGACAATTACTTTTTATATTTAACTTGAATTTATTGATATTAAAAGCTGCCTGTGACAAGTAATCAGGTAAAACAATATTACTTTACAGCATGGAATTCAATATGCACAATAAGGATGTAAGATGTCCTAGTAACATAATAATTTGCTTAAAAAACAACAACAACAAAAAAACATTTAAAAAAATCACAATAGAAAAGCAATAATTTGCTATTTACATATTGGCATTTTATAATTGCAAGCTGTGACTTGAATTGGAATGCAAAATATATACAGTATATGCACTTAATATTAACTTTATTAGATTTAATAATATTAACTTGTATTTAAGCATTATTGTAGTTTTAACAGTGAAAAGAATCAGAATAATACTTTATTGATCCACGAGAAGGAATATAAATAAAGATAGAAAGTTGGTATATAAAGAAGTTTATAAATATCAGAGTAAAAATATAAAATAAAAAGAATATATAAATTAGTGTGGATATGTGCAATATTTACATAGTTAAAAGGAATCGTTATAGTGAACAGTAATAAATTGTAATTGCACATTTAGTATTTGAACAGGTATTATTGCACAAAACAGATAATAATGTCCAGTTAAAAACTGACTAAGTGTCCGTGTGTCAGACACTTAGAGGGAGGAGTTATAAAGTTTGATGGCCACAGGCAGGAATGACTTCCTGTGACGCTCTGTGGTGCATTTTGGGAAAAGAGAGAATAATGCATACAAAGGAAGAAGTAGAAAGACATTTGCTCTCCATTTATACTGTTCAGCAACCTGGCCTTTTTTGCAAATGTATACTAGTCTGGAACCTCACCAATAATTTTAGTTTCCTTGGAAATTATCAACAGGCACAAACCAAAATGCCTCTTAAAATTACGGGGATGAACCTACAACCAATCAGAGCAAGGAAATATGTGATGCAGTGCTGAGCAACACATGCACGTTGCATCGTTGTGAATGATGTAATGTGATTATTAATTTTGTAGATACAGCATGGATTTTAGCCATAATTGTTCTACCTTTGTTCTCATGGAAAAGGCAAATGTGCTTTGACATTTCAGAATTGTGCACTCCTTCTCCTCTGATCGAGCACCCATCCAGCAGGGTTCATGTCCAGCTTTAACATGTTCAGCACCCAGGGGTCCTGCTGTGCACCTCTTATGAATTCTACCATGTTAATTTTACCTGTGTAACAGAAAAGTCAAAGCATGGTTAATATTCTCTGCTGAGACAACAAATTGTTCCCTTTGTAAATTGTCACTCCAAAGTGTTTTTACTGCATTGTAAAAGTGAAATGTGACTAAATGCTTACCATCTCCGTCACTGTCAACAGCCTGTAATATTCGATCCACAACTTCATCTACTGTAAGCCGTGAATCACTCACGTCTGTTTTTGTGGCCCTCTTTATCCGATAGAGACTCTAAATAGAAAAAAGAAAAATACATATTGTATTTTATGTGAATAGCACAGAAAATGTCACATGAACTACCTGCTGCTGCGAAAGTGACAATAACTGACCAAAAATGAAATTCATCAATTGCCACTATAATAGACTCACATCAATTATTGACCGTAGTTCGTCCCTGTCCACAAAGCCATTGTTGTCTTTGTCATACACCTTGAATGACCAGCGCAGTTTATGCTCCAGGTCTCCCCGGAAAACAAGATTCAGTGCTGCTACAAACTCAAGGAAGTCAATAGTATTGTCCTGAAAGGTAGGTTGAATAAGTACAACTTCGTCACATTGTCACATTTTGGTAAAGATGTACACTATGTCAGGCTGTAATAGCTTTTACTCTCTTACCCCATTTTTGTCAAAAACTCGAAACATATTCTCTGCATAATCAGAGGCTTCTCCTGTTGGGTCAACACCAAAGAAACGCTTGAACTCATGCAGAAAAAGTAGTCCACTTGGGCACTCCACGAGAAACCTCTTATACATATCCTGAAGTGTTTTGACATCAATCTCCTCATTATTCTCGGTATGCTGTGTCTGCCCCATGGCTGGCTTGAAATTTAACAGTCCATAGTCCTGTAGCCTTTGGGTATATACTCCGCAATGCAGTGGGAAGACTTGAATAAGGCATCTCCTACTCTTGGGTGTTTCTTTTATAACCCTGTGGAATCTTTTAGCTCCAGTTTGTGTAAGAGACAGGTGATTGAAGTGCCCTCAGGATTACTATGGTATTATGTTGGTGGGGTTTTCTCTATCTGAGTTAATTAGGTTTGCAGCTAAATGCAGATCTGAGATAAACTTGTAGGAGTGGCAGGCAAATTAAAGGTATGTGCTTTCTAATAGTACAGCATACATTATATTATTGTCAATGCTGATAAAAAAAAGGGGACTTATTATTTAATGTATGTCAGTTTAAAAGTTACTTGCTTTTAGTAGAATCGAATTACTTTAACATATATTGGTTAATTAATAGTACTGTTTATTTGTTGATACCACTGCATTCATTGACTTTTAAAAACTTTGTGCACTGGACACCCTGAAAAACATCTGACTTAACATCATCTTATAAAGCATTTATTGGGACACTTTCCTGTTTTATATCTGTCCCTTAAGGTTCTAGATGTTCCATTATCTTAACCAACAGGTTTGTAAATTCATACCTGCAGTTTAGAGCTGGTCAGTTAGAAACGGTTTCTCATTTTCCCCTGAAAAACAGCTTCAGTCAAGACTATATTATTAATTATTGGATGGATTTCCATTAATCAACATGTTAGAAATATCACTGAGAGCATATTACCCAGGGGCGTTGCTAGACATAAAGCTCTACCGGGACACAGGCCCCCCACATCCCTCATGTAAATTTTTTATTTATTTTTTATTGAAGTGTATGAAATGTGTTAGTATGTGCTTTACCAGCTTCCCTTGCTTAGCCCATTAATGTTGGTCATGTCAGAAAGGGATTTGACTGGAGAATAACCACACATACCTCTTTTATGTACACTATGTTATCTGTGAGCCATGTAAACTATTTGCCACTGTTGCACAGTCACAGTCTATTAAGAATGCTGCTGGCTGTACATCTCTGGCTGTGCTGGTACTGGATTTGGATCAACTGTGCTCTAACTGGCTTATGATCCAGAATCTACTCTTCTGACAAATTTAAGCTTTGCCCCTTTAAATTACAGATATTAATACTTGCTAGATATTAATGTTATCAACTGCATCTGGCCCATACAAACTGTCTCCCAGGTTTCCTTTAACATTTTCAAAGCTAAAGTACTATTTATACTAAGGCTGGGCACTATGGCCAAAAATGTTACCACGATAATAAAGTTCATCATTCAGAACTATTATGATAAAATCTGTTTTCAACAAATATTTGAGTAAAATTAAGTTACATCTTTTTTCAGCCCATTTTTCCCCTCAATAAAATATTTATATCTTAATAGAAAAAGTAAGTGCTAATCTGTTCATGATTCAAATGAATGAGATCAAACATTTGAGTATTTAACGAACATTTGTTATATTGTTATTGAGGAAAATTACACTGTGATAATTACTGTTTTATTATTTACCAGCTCTAATTTATACTATGACTTGGCTGAATAAGTGATGTTCATTACTGAAAGATGTACATTCATATTGCCTTCTGTGCTGCTAATCAACATTTTAATAGTCAATGTGAATCCAATGTGTTATGAGGTTGTGTGGTGTGGGGGCAGAGAGGACCCAAACGCAGCACTCTGAGGGAAGGAGGTTTATTGAGGGGAAAAAGGGGGTAGAGGGACTGGAGTGGAGGGAGAGGTGGATGTCGGGGAAACACTGGCACTGGGAACCAAGGAGACTGGGGGCCAGGGTGCCGGGGAACACTGGGCCCGAAGAAGCGAGGAACGGTGGGAGAACAGGGAGGACGCCGTGGGGGAAGTCTGTGGAGGAGAGGGCCGGTGGATGAGCCCTGCTGACTGAACGGAGGACGAGGGTGAGTGTACCTGGGAGGGAAACAGACAGAGAGACAGGGTTAGAGATGACAGAGACAAAGCACGGGGAAAATGTGAGAAAAAAAAACAAGAAACACGAGAGCCTGAACGTGGAGGTGGCACCGAGTATGGAGCAACGACGATCAAGCCAGAGTAGTGTGGAGAACCGGGGTTGAAATACAGGCAGGGATGAGGTTGACTACTGGCAGGTGTGGCAGGCTGACGAGGTGGCTGATGAGGTGCAGGTGCGGGTCGTTGGCTGGGCTCAGGAGCAGAGGGAGAGAGAGAGCACACAGGGGAGAAAACACAGGGAGGCAGGCAGGGAACAGAAAACCAAGGAAAAAGCAGAATAACTGATAAAAAGGAGAAAAAAAAAACAGGACACTCACCGTCAGCCGGGCTGCCACCACAACACAATGCTTTCCATTTTGCATTAGTCCAGAGTTGTAACTACACCTTCACTTAAAAAACTCTAAAACGAGATAGATAATCACTCATCTTGTTTAAAATGATGTGTGCCTATGAGGAGTGCCATCACATCTGTGTTCTGTCTGGTCCAACTAATGTTGCTCCTGGAATGTAATAAGGTCCGGTTGCGTACTGTAGCACCACTCAGCCAGATGCGCAAGTTATCATTTCCGTCAGCATTTATCAAAGTTAATAAAGAGTTTTTATTAGAGTTTTCACTCTAATATTGTTCAGTCACTCTCTGGCAAGCTACCAAGACACAGACAGACCTAGTTGCGTTGCTCAGCTGGGTTAGCAGCGCAGAGGTTGGCTCACCGCAGCTAGGCTACACATGAACCTGCTCACATCAGACTTTCAGAAGAGAAGACACAAGTTTACCTGACTGCTGTTCCCAAAAGTCACTCCCATTGAGTTATTTTCTCTTCTTGTGCCCAGAAGAATAGACCCCATTCTTCAATGTTGTAAACACTCATTAACAATGTGCCTTTTCACATTTACAGGTAGTTTTATTTTGAAAGTGTAACCGGATGTTGCATGTATATCATTGCTACTTGACCGCGGAGCCGTACACGTCCAAAAACGATGCAGAGGGATCTTGACAATCTTACTGGAGCACAGCACATGGATACAGGGGCACGTGTAATTTTGGGGCTTTTAATGTTCATTGAAGAACATATACACCTGTAAATACAATTAAATTACCTATAAATATAGTTGAATACTACTATAACATAAATCAGACTTAAAATTTGCTAAAAAGTTTTTATTATATAATTCTACATAAAAATCTTCTAAATGTAATCAATGTTTAATCTAAAAACAATGATACAACACCCGCAAACACTTGATTTTCCATTTAAAAAAAAGTCACCTTTCACAATTGATGAAGAGCTGGTGGTGGAGGGGCAGTGGTCATTTTTGCAGCCAGGTAGCCACCTGACTTGAATTTTGTGGAGAGGGCTATGGACTACCACATCTCCATAATTTGGTCACCATACCATTATTAAGGGAAACTTACTTAATGTCTTGCAGACCTTGGATAGATATGCTGTTTATTATGTTTGCTGTTGTTTATGTTTTCCAATTGAGCTACCTTGATAAGCAAAATGGTTTCTTAAGGTCATCCTGAGGTGTTGTCGTGGAAAGTCAGCCAAATCTGAAAATGTACTTGCAAACAACTGGATTCATTAGGACTGCCAAGAAAAACTTGCATATATTCTACAGTGAGTGAGCTATGGACACCTGGTGTTTGTTGTTTGAATAGGTATTATTCAAGCCATTTTAAGAAGATGAGTTTGAGTTCACATTGAATTTCAGGAAAATTCTCTACTTCAGTTGTGTTTGTATCACATTCCCACTTGTCTTTCTACTTACACATATGTGTCTATTTTGTATACCAACTTAATTTAGAGATTGTGGACTTCCCTAACTCAGGTGCACACAGTTGTTCACTGCCTTCCAAGGCCAGGGCCCTGTTTCACAAAGCAGGTTCAACAAACTCTGAGTATAAACCTGAACTCTAGGTTGATGAACTCTGAGCTGTCAAACTCCGGGTTTCCCGTTTCAGAAAGGCCGGTCAGAATAAGTTCAGTCAACTCTGAGTATGTTGAGACTGATGGAAGCGCGTGCGTGGGGATGAAAAAAAGCCATCATCAATGGAGCTCCAATACTACGATTCACCATGGCAACGGGTAAATAAAGGCAGAGCATCCATTTTAATCGGGTGGAGCTAGAAATATGAATGCTGCCAACATGGACCATGATTGGCTCTAAAACGTAGGAGTGGAGGATTGATACGTTAACAACATTACATTTTATACAGCATTGCTCATTCATTATTTACCAGACTGAAATTTCCTTAATGAATGATAAAGAGCTGGAATTCTCCTACAGCCTGTTATTCACTTTAAATACCTACAGGCCTGTTTATTCAGCTGTAACCTGACGGGACTAAATGCCGGTGACAATAACTGAAGATGAAAATATTAATCGAACAGATTAGACATAGATTAGGCTCCTCATGGACCTATGATTGTAAAGTGACAGTCTGATTCAGTAGGTCTATTAATTTTTTGTAATGTAAAATGTGTCTAGGTTCAAACTGACTGAAGTTTTAGACGTCTTTGTTACAGTAATAAAATCTTGCTCATTTCGTATTTTATGAAATGCTGTCAAAACACATTCAGACAATCAGCAGATAATGAAAAACTCACTTTTAAACTACATTTGTTTCAGCTGCACCACAGTCATCCTCACTCAGAAATATTCACATCATATCCAGCTGATAACTACGATAAGAATGTTCAATCAGTGCGACTACAATATGAAAGGTTACTGTTCATTCATCAGTTTTGTACAGATTACTTTAAACTGCAGCACTGTAGCGCACAGTAAGTGTTTTGCCTTAATGTCCACAGAGTCACTGTGTTATAAAGGACAGTGTAATTTATAGATTTTATTCTGTGCTGAGAATAAATTTACAATGTCCAAAGATAACTCTCTGTCCATACATCGATGACAGATTAATCATAAAAGCGTCATGTTCAACATCATGTTTGGGTAAAGAAAACAACTAACAGCCTATTTAACCGTGATTTCGATGTTTCTAAAGACGTAACTGTGTTCCAATATGTGCTTTGATATGGCCAGTCTGAATGAGGAAATGTCAGACAGCCGCTTCAAGCTCCGCAAGAGGGGAGGAATCAGAGAGAAACTCAGCGTTAGTTGAAGTTCACAGCGTAAACCTTGCCGGAGTTACAGACCTAGAGTTTATCTGATCTCGCTCTCTGAAACCGAAAACCCAGAGTTTCCCTCATCTTGGGCTCAACTTACTCAGAGTTTTCACTAACCCCGCTTTCTGAAACAGGGCCCAGGTGGACCTAATTCAGTAATCAGCTGTAGCACTTCCGGGGTAGAACAGGAACATGTATGCACAGCACAGGGAAACACATACAACCGTAACAACATTTACCAGATACAAAAACTGTCTTTAGAAAGTTGTAAAATGTCATATTGAATCCAGAAAATGAAGTCTTTGGATTGTGCATGAAGTTCACTCTATGTAAAACCACCATTTTGGATGTACCATTATCCCCTCTCCTTTGCCTTTCATCTCTCTCTACAGTCCTATCAAAGCAACTTACCAATTACTTTACATTCATGTTCCACTTTAATCTTGAAGCTGTGTCTGACAGTGTCCAAAATGTTCTTTATGTCAAACCAGTTGTGTTTCTAATGAATAGATCTGAAAATGTCATCAATAAAGTAAATAAAAACTAAACTACTTCAGTTGCAGGAGAACAATTCTTTACACTGAAGTGTTTGGGTTGT